ATTTCTTGCTTCAGTCTGGTCTTTTTTCCTAAATTACGCTATTTCACACGCATAGTCTTCCTTTAAGTGAAAATGTTAACCCTAGTAAATGACTAACATTTCAGTAGTTAATTCGTTATCGGGAGCTCATCAAGTGACATCACGCGTTATGCTCTAAAGGGAAACCTGAAGGATAGACGAAGTTTCGTTTCATCTGATAATGACTCGGAAGAGATCGTGTAAATAGGAGATGGAAGCCTACGGGCAGTTGTGGAGGACTACAGTGAACAGAAAGAAATGAATGACGCTCTGCTGTAGCCTTATTTTTCATTCGGAAGCTAAGCGCATAATAATAAGAAAACAAAGTTTATAATAGAATATTTTAGATGCGTAATTTATTTTGCTTTACAATAGGCATTTAAAAAAAAAACATTGAAAGAGAGAGTATAGGAAGATAAGTGTTGCACTGTAAATACACAATATGTTTGATATTTTTAAAATTTCTTTTCAAAATTTAAGATGGAATGCACTATTGCTGCTAGTTATTTTTTGTTTTATTTGATCCACAATAATATCTATAAAAAATATTCGCTGTTGCTTGTTATAATATGCACTTGATCTTAGATTGTCTTTCTATTTGACGAACAGAATAACGTTTATGACATAGAAACTATTATAATGATAATAGTTTTAGACCTTTTACTAATTGCTTATTTTATTCAGCAAGTATTTAATACTGCTGTTAGATGATGGTAAGCAATCAACAGGCGGCCCTCGACCTAGGTTTCGAGCTTTTTGAAGTCATCAATAAGGTGGATCTGCTATACCGATGGAAATGGAGTGCCCTATGGAATTCGAATCTACGTTATCTTATGTTGAATTCAGAAATATCACTACTGAGTTCAAGATTAACCTTAGCAAGTCAGTATTAAGTCAAAGGACGAGAAACACGATTTCAATGACCCCATAGTGACCCAATTAAGGTACTTATTATGTCAATCAAAGTCTGTGAAAGTCCTAACTTGACATTAGTGCTCAACACATTTATACTTTGTTTCTTATGAATAATGTTGTAGATCCCCAAACGTATTTCCGGTCTTAGTTTCAATTCATGTCCTCATCTATGTCGCCTGTAGTTGAGACGAGAGTCAGGTGACCAATGGTGAGCTCTCATCCTGTATTGCTTGCTCCTAGTTCGGCATTCAAATGAACTGAATTTGGTCATCTGACTGGGTTCTTGTCTATTACTGTTTGCCATTGTCTGTAGAAGTCTTCCTTCTGCTCTCTATTCGTGTTGTTTGTTGGTCGGTGGCACTGGATACTTGTCATTTTCCTTCCTTTTTGGTGGAAACTAGTGGTCATTATTCTGGAAGAGATTGGTTCTCACTTCATGAAATCTTCCATATTGTTGATGATCCCATCAATGTATCTGTTTGTATCATTTGGTTGGCGGGAGTAGAATGTTGAAAATTTGGAGGAGCCACTTGCATTTCATTTGGCATCACATCTTCCTAGCACTTCTGTTGCATATCTCATTTCTTCTGCAATCTGAGCTACCTCTCCAGCTTTGAAGGTGGTATGAATATTCCGCATCTCTTTGCTTTCATCGAATGAAAATAAATCTGTCGACTAGCTTCCTGAAGGTTTTCACGTTGTCGTGTCATTCGACCTGACTAATTCCAGATAAGAATAAGTTTACCCTTGAAATATTCCTGTGCTTTGAAGTTTCAATAGAGAATGGTCCGAGATTCGATCCCCTAACGATGCACACCTGATATCTATGGTCAACCTGCAAAGTTTGGGCTACCGATATCCATGCTAAAAATTCCATACTTGTACCAAAAATACAGTATGAAATCAAGCTGTAATCAAAAATAAAAAAGTAAGATAAATAGTACTTTTGTAAGGGGTAAGATGGTTGTCCCTACGCTCAACTTTCCCTCTGTTTTTCAGTCTTAGGACAGGCAGCTGAAATAAGAAACTGGTATACTAAGCTGAGTTGTGAGGATCCATTATAAAACTGTAAACATCTTTGAAGAAAGCAGATAATATGGTTTAAAAATCTACATAAAGTATGGCATTGCTTTGATAGCTTTTAAATAAAATGGTATTTGATCATATTCACCATACCATCTCTCTTTATTGTATTCAATCTTTTCAAAAGTTCTCTTGGTACTGTTTGCTTATTGCTTTGTAAGTCAGCTAAATGATTTTCGTGATATTACATCCTTTGACACAAGTGATTTAACTGCAAAGATTTCATTGTCATTTCGGTCTGTAGGATAAAGCGAGCTTTCAGGTCTGATCACAAGTTAATGTTAAGACAATGCTGGTATTCATTCAAACTATTGGAGTACTTTTCGGAGCTGATGTAAATTATTTGATAGTAATTGTCGATTTTGTTTTGCTTCAAATGTTGAAACTTTTGGTGTATACAATATGACATGAAGTGGCTGCTTTGACTTCTTTGCAGCGTTTCTCACACAAGCTTTACATATTTCAGCGGCGACCTACCCTACCTCTTTCATATAACCATATTAAGCTCCCATTTTTATCGTAACAACAACTTATGCATAGCATGTCTGAGCTCGGTTCCGTATGAAGTAGTTGCGGATTACTTGATACGTCTATGAAATCTATTCTTTAATTTTCATTTTGCGCGTCGGCAGTCCACCGACAGAATGCTCGCCGACCTCGCACAAGTGTCAATTTAGTGCTCCCATACCAGTCAAAGACTTGGCACCTCTGTCACGAGAAGTAATGATAATAATAATTTGGTTTATTCCAAAACAGTACTTGTGATACAAAATGGAATTCTCAGCATTTTACTACAGCAGTGCATCCACTCAGTACATGAACTATAACTAAAGTTCTACATAGATTAAGGTAATCTCAGTTAGTTTTGACAACACCATATTGGCATATCGGTAGCAAGGCCAAAAAGGAACAGAATGTCTGAAAGTGTTAGAAAAGTAGATGCCAGCATATATACTGGCGTGAGCGGTGACAAAAAGATCGAGATATACAGAGTGTGAAAGAACGAAGAAGAGTGTTTTAAGTAGAGTTTGTAAGGAAGAGAGAAGCAAAACAGCACAATAAAAAACAAACAAAAAAGAGATAGTGAGAAAAGGAAAAGAAAGAAAGAAAACGTTGTACCTATAAATGCTATGAATTGGAAAGAATGAGATCCAGTTGTTCTACTGACTATTTAATAAGTCATAAGCTTCACGCCTAATGCTTTCTTTATGGCACAGAACACGAGCTGAGTAGGGTATGGTTGAGTTTTTGTACTTTCTAGTGCGAGCATATAGTTTTCTTTATAGGCTTCTGGTCTGGTCTGGCCTGAAGAGATACATGGGGAGAGTTGTGAATGTAGAGGGTGTTGTGAGTCAGATAAAATGGATTCCGCCCATTTTTCACATGAGTCCATGTGCCTGTCCACCAGAATATTAACAAGCTGGCTAAGTGGCAAACTGCTTACCCTGCTGACAACCTTTAACATCCTACGTAATAAGGTATAGTCTTTCTTCAATAGCCCAGGAAAGACTAAGGGGGAACAATAGAGAATAATAGGCAGAATACGGGAGTTAACAAATTGTAGGAGTAAGGGTTGGGTTACACCAGAATGTCTTAACCTCTTGATGTAGAAGGTAAGACGGAATATTTTCTTAGAAATCGTCAAGATATGAGACGACCAGGAAAGATAAGCAGATAGAATGACGCGTAGTTATTTAATTTCCGACTTGGTTTCTATTTCAGTACCATTTATGCTGCACACCTCGTGAGTGGTAACCAGTTTGTTTAGGTCAGTCAGATTTATGCCTAAAGGTGAAATTGACTGTTTGGCATTTAGAGGGATTTCGGGTTAGACCCTTTTCCTCAGACCACTGGCTGATTTTTGATAAAAAGCCATTTAGTTTGGAGCAGTCACTTTGACATTTGACAGGGGAAGATACAGTCAGGTCGTCAGGATATTTAACAAAAATTAATGTCATTTGAAGATGGTAAGTCATGTAGAAAGAAAGAAAGAAAATAGAAGTGAGGAGAGTACACCAGCTTCAGTGAGCACAGCAAAGAAGGATTTACCTTTGTAAACAGTGTACTGCATTCTGTTTAAGAAGTGGGAAGCAACCATTTTGTGAGCCAGGACTCAGTTTGTGTCATCGGGAGCTTATTTAGCAAGAGACATCTAGGTATTGAGTCGAAAGCAGAAGTGAAGCCGAGAAACGTGCAATGAATGTATTTGGCACCTTTATCTAATGATGAGACGATACTGTTGTGTAAGACGGCTGCAGCGTCTAAAGTGCTCCTACCCTATCTATATGCAAATTGTCTAGGGTCTTCAAAACTTTTAAGCGAGGGTTCAAGTTTAAGAAGCAGTACTAGATTTTCCAAAGTGCTTAGCTTGACGCCTCGCCGAGACTTGAACTCGGGTCGCTGGATTCAAAGTCCAGACTGCTAACCGCTACACGACTACTGGAGACACTTATCAACAACCGCCTTAGCTGGATAATGAAGGTCAAGTGGTGGACCAGAAAGGATGAGCAACAAAGAACTCTAACAATGAGCAAATCAAGAACCTATCACCAAACAGTTATCTGAACGAAAGTGTTCATGAACTGGATATACACACTGAGGAGACCATTGAGTGGCATCACATCCTGTTCCCTCTCAATAGGATACAACGGAGTTTGGATATTCAAGGATGACATGGAAGAGATCGTGTGAGGAAGAAATGGACGTTTGTGGAGTCTTATGGAAATACTTAGAAATGACAACAGGGAAAGGTTAGGTAAAGAGATGCGCTGTTGAAGCACTGTATGCTACTTCAAACCCAATAGTATAATCTAAATTAATTTACAACCATTTTTTTAAAATTTAAGCCTTACACTCACTGTAAAAGTGTGTAATTTATGGTATAATGAAAGTGCATTAGTTTTTCATTTGAACTATCAACATTTTGACGCATTTTATCTACTTCATTCATGTATATATAAATGAAAGTGCAATCTTTAATTTTTGTCCTTTCTGTTATATTTTGGTTCATTTGTCTATGCTGATTCTTCTTTTCTGTGATATTAATAGAAATTAAATAAAAACTAAGATAGCTAACTGAATTATAAAACCCAACAACAACAATGAAACTTTTCTGTTTATATCTATTCACCTTTTTAACATCGTCATACGCCTTCGTAACTGATCCATACTCTAATGATGGACATCATGGCTATGAATATGATTCATATTTTGATAGCGAATTCGACAAAGGTTTTCTTGGATTTTATGATTACACAGATGACTACAAGCCAAGAGATCATAACTATTATTATTATTATGATAACATACCACAGAATAATGAAGGACATGGAAGCAAAGGAGAAGGTGACGGAGGAAGAGGAGCAGCAGGAGCGGAAGGAGGAGCACAAAATTCTGAAGGAAATTCAAATGGTCATAATAGTGAACAAGATAATCAAAATCATGGTCCTGGTCAACATGATCATGACAACAGCCATGGTGAGCATAACCATGACTATTATGATGACTATTATTCCTATCGACCATCACCTCCTAATCGCCATTATTATCATGATAACTATTATTACGATGAGTTAGATGATGATGATGAAAGCGATGAAGATGACGGTGATCAACGTCACGGTAATGCCCGAAATAATAATGCAGGTCAGAATATGGGTAATAATAATAATAATAGTGACAGTAGACCTCATTCACCTCGACGACCTCGGTATCGTGATCGTTATTTCTATAGATATGACAAACAAGTTAAAGAATTCGTATTCGATGGAAAACCGTTATATATACCTAAAAGGCAATATCATAATTATTACTATTATCCAGGAATTTCTAAAACAGAAGGTTTTGGAATTATGGGTGATGTACACGGGGATCAAATTAATAAAACAGATGGGAAATATGATAGATATGGTAATTACATACCAGATTATCAAAATGTGAATGGTGGTCCACATCCGCAAGGTGGAAACAATGGTCCACGTCCACAAGGTGGAAACAATGGTCCACGTCCACAAGGTGGAAACAATGGTCCACATTCTCAAGGTGGAAACAATGGTCCACATTCTCAAGGTGGAAACAATGGTCCACGTCCACAAGGTGGAAACAATGGTCCCAGAGGACAAGATAATCATGATAATGGTGATCATATTGGGGAATCAGATGATCATTTTGCAGGCAGTGATGGTGCTGGTGCGAATCAACAGACGGCAATCAGTGGTGGGGGTGATGGTGAAGGCATGTCACAAGAATTAAACAAAAAACCTGAAAGCCCATCAAATGAGAGAAATAAACGACAAAGTAAAAAAAACAAAAAAAAGAAAAAGGGTGATAAAAAGAAAGGCAAGAAGAACAAGAGAAAATATTATCGTTACAACAATAGATATGGTGATTCATATGATGACTATGATTCTTATGATTACTACTCATATGACAATGAGAAAACGGAGGAAGACAAAGCAGAAGATGGCGATGATTCCCGAGACGATCAGACGACAGATGGTGATGATTAAGATTACAGACACTAAATATTTGAAGTCCGATTTAAAGGTTGTGGCAGTAAAGCATTCAATGAAACTGAACTAACTGTGATCATTGATTCAAATGATCTACAGTTGTAATATTTGTTTCTTATAATATATATGTATGAGTGAAAACTGTTGACTTATTCTTTCTTAAAAGGGCAAAATGAAGGCAATACCAAATTCTTCTTCAGTCTAATGATGTTAACGAACGTTTCATACTAAAGCGTGTTTTTGATATGTGATTATGTTCTCTGAGCTGGTCGGTTTATTCGTGAAACATTTCACTGTCTTTCTAGACAACATCTTCAGTGCAAGATGCTGTTTCGAAAGAGGACAATGAAAGCTTAGTAATTAAGCCACTCAACTTAGAGGACGTGAACACATCGAAATCATCCACTTAAGCTAAACAAAATCTTCTCTATTACACTAAGTATGCGTTTATGTAAGCGAATCACGTATAATGTTCGAAGGTTATTCAAATTTTTCCAAAAGAATGAAGCAGTTGAAGTAATTCTGTCTTTTTTTCCAGTTTGTCGTAAATTTCGTGAGCATTACCTATTTAGGCGTTAACGAAAAAAAACAACGAAAAAAGTAGTTAAGTGAAGAGCTTCTTTGCGGCAAATTCATTTTCTCTAACTGCGCCATCATATTTATATAAAGTTCTTTCACAAAAGAGGATAGTGACACAAGTTACAAAGAATTTTCAGTCATTATCCTCTACGTCAGATAATTCACAAGATCAAGCAACTATAGGAGATGAAATAAGGCTTTTTAGCTATTTATTACCTCAGATACCATTGCCAAAATTGAGTATAGTTAAGTATGAGTAACTTGGAAGGACAAAAGTCATTTTTTATTATCTAAAACCTAAGGCTGTACTTCAGATTAATGCATTAAAAGTCAATCTGAACGAAGAATATTCTTTTCAATAATTTCCCCTCTTCAGGTTCTTACAATTGTAAAATATAATATTTGTTATCGTTACAATAACGGTAGCCAGTTATGCGGCGGCGGATACATTTTTAACGTAGAATAACAGATTAGTTTGTTATGGGGTGTCTAAATAAATAGTTGTATTTGTGTGACAAACGCGCGCTGGGCTGAAACTGATTACAAAATATTGTAAAACAGGAGACAATGGTGGTGATTAATCATAATAGAATTGTACAGTGTGGGGTAGGAAAATTGACAAATCAGTCAGTTCAAGGTTATAAAAGGTGTCAGCTGGGTGAGTGGTACTAGCCACTAAGTGGTATGTGTTAAATAGGAGGCGATAGTAAGACTGCATTAAGAGGTTCATAATGAAATAACGAATATGTGAAATGAAACAGGTGGAGGCATACATTGAGAAAAGAGATAATATCACTAATAATAAGTCTGGATAGTATAAATGAAAAATTCAACAGTACTGGCAGGATGAAGGGCATAAATTATGACGAATAACATTTGTAATAATAAGCAAAGGAAAGAAACCAAGAGGGTTAATGGGAAGGATCACTCTTGGTGAGAAGAAAAAACATCAATCCAAGTTTAGCCACGGTAGGAACAGCATCTGGACGTGTTCTTTTTGTATACAAATTTCTGGTTTAGTCGATCTTGTTGCAACAGCTTCAACTATGTGTAGGAGACGTAAGCGAACTGTACGTGATAACGAATTGGGAATTCGGTATATGACCCTGAAAGCTGTGCTGACATCGATACGATGTCCAGTATCGACCAAGTGTGACAGAATCGAGTTTTTTATGAACTTAATTTCTCCCTGATGGATCAAGCTGGTAAATGTTTTCGAACCCGTAGATGAACCTGCCTAATCGTGCGCCCTATATAACTTGAACCTCAGGAACAGTTGAAATGGTATATGCATGAAGAAGAGATAAGGTTAGGTAAGACATCTTTGAGTTGTAATCAATTTCAACCTAGCACGTTTGTCACATAAATACGACCATTTATTTTGACATCCGATAACTGCTGATCTGTTATTCTACGTTAAAAATGTATCCGCCGCCGCATAACTGGCTACCATTATTGTAACGACAACAAATATTATATTTTATAATTGTAAGAACCTGAAGAGGGGAAATTATTGAAAAGAATATTCTTCGTTCAGATTGACTTTTAATTCATAATATAGGAATATTTCACACTATCAAATTAATGCGTGTTGCATGGAACAGATAGCTACTTCACGAGGATTCCACACAGTCTAACTTATTGCATAGCGCTAACCATACTTAGAAGATGAAATTTTGGAAAAACACGAGTTACCCAGTAGTACTTTTATAGTGTACTTCAACCCTGATTTTACCTATTCAACTTGGACTAGAAAACATTAAGTTGGCCAATGCAGAACAACAGTTAGATCCTTCGAAGTTTATTTCGGAATCCGTACTGTCAAACACTAGTACCTGCCTTAGTGTCAAGAGATCATTTACGAACAACCGAACGTAATATGAAAGAGTGCTAGATGATGTGGGCACCTAGATATTCATGTTCAGAGTAACCAGTTAGCTTAAACAGTGAAGGTCAGCACCCAAAGCTGAGCGATTACGAAACTATAGGCCAACAATTTACGAATCATTTACTGCTACTGCCATGTCCCTGCATCGGTTGTTCGCTGGTAGAATGCTCGCCAACCACTCAGATGGTTCGGGGTTTGATTTCCGGCCAATGCTTTCCTAAAACTAGCTCATCCGGTAGTAGATCTGGTAAAGAGGGAAGACTGGAAGTAGTACTAGCAACCCCATTACATAAAAAGACACCAAGACTATTGGAACTTCAAAAGCTTTAAGCCTGAAGCCTTGTGTTCTACTGTTCTACTGACATATTTTAAATATATATAAAATATATAAATATTCGTTTACATTAATTTTGAGTTAAGAATGAGAAAGCATTAAAACTTTTTAACACAAATCCCATTTAAATCCCTTCAGTTTTCAAGTATTTTATAAATGTGTTCCCCTAAGGATAAGCCAAACTATAGTTTATAATTCAAGATAATATCAAACAATATAAAGCTGTAGGGACAGATTTGAATACACATCACATAAAATGGTAGGTGAAAGTTATAATAAGTCACACACAACTTGTAGGCATTTTTGGAAAGATATGAAATCAAAACGTTGTTCAAGAATCTTCAGTAGAACTTATCCATCACCTCATCCCAGACCAAACCAAGGATCATAAAGATTATGTGGTGACTATTCAGCCATTGGGACGGAATCCAGGGGCTTTTGTTAATCAAATTTGTAAAACTAACTTTTGAATTAATCTGATGGTGACTGGTGACTGGAGTCCTAATGGTAAGTCATTGGTGTTCATCACTTGCCGATGACATCGGCTGATAGTTATTGTTATTATTGTTCCCTTGGGTTCCTAGTGGAACATTGGGCTTCAACTGCACACCTCCACTTGCTTCTCTCTTATGCTGTACTTTTCACCTGCATCCATTTTAGTCCATACTGTTTCAACTCCTCTCTCTTCACACGACCTCCTCCATGTCACCCTTGCACTGATGACCCACTCGCCGCTTCCCTTTCAGCCTGGTTCCACTCGAGCAATGGCCTGACGCAGGCCCGATGTCACTCAGCGGCCTCCTCAGCTAGTGGCTGGTAGAGGCACTGTATATTTCATGAATTAACAGAAGTTAGAATTCATAGACTATTGTATTCCGTCTCAGTAACTGAAAGGTCAATCAGCTTGCTTCTTAGACTGAAGTTTCCATACCCAACTTCTGATATGTACATGCGTGTGTGCTGTTGAGGGGTCCCGAACTGGTACGAAATAGCTGTTCAGCGATCTCTGGTTTTCAGTGAAGCTTTCACCGAGTGAAGCCAGTTCGTGATCAAAATCGAAACAAGTCGAATCCCTATAAAAATTCATACAATTCTCCCAATCAATAAACTTAGGCAAAACAAGAATATCAAGTGTGCTGGCATAATACCGGCTAACAGCGTGAACAATACAGAATTTTAAAGTGTAATAAAGGTTTGAATATACTTTCTGCTCGATAACAAGAAGTACTTGACAGGAAATAAGAGTGGCATAAGTTCTGAATAATGTCAGCTATTGAATTATTAAGAGTTAAAGGGTTGATGGTTTATAGGATAATTAGACCATTACTCTTCTTTAGGATAGAGGTAGAAATTTTTGGTTTGAAACGAAGTTTAACCAGAAACAGTATAACCACATAACGGAAAAATGTTTTTATGAAGTAGCTGAAACGGAATAGGCTGATTAACGTCCTACAAAACAGGAGAGAAGATACTATATTATACATGGCATGTTTTGTTATGTAATTTTTAATCGCCAAGGTAGTGTGAGATTCACAGCTGTCTCCTTCTGAGGAAACAACCCTGTTTTTAACCCTATTGACAGTTATCTCCTCAGCAAAACAAAGCCTGCTTGGTTTGTAAACTTCTGAGTGTCCTAAACACCTGGTGGTTCGATACGCCCATACAAGCCTGGAGGTTTTGAATTTTATTTTTAAGGTAGCGTTCAATTTCTGTCTCATTCTGCCAGCAATGCGACCGCTTTTGACGGCAAGCTGTAGAATAATAGACTTCATCTACTGCGCAGCAATTCGCTTTTTCCACACCACCTTTTCCACGTCTGTCGATGGACTTTTGTGGGTAACTAACACTTGAAAACAAATCAAATTCGTCATTTACAAATCAAACAGTTTGAGGTGAGAACTCGTCACAGTCTCTTTTGGAAACCAAAATTATTCACGTCAAATTATATGGTCTGTTGGATATCATAGATTAAAGCTCAGAAAGCAAACGAAAAAACGTAACACTTTATACTACTGACTGACTGAAATGAGTAGGTGAGGGCTACACACATTAAGTAGTAGCGCTTGCTAGCCAAATCGAAGTGACCTATACACTAGATGTCCGTTTGGCTGATTTGACCCCAAGCTTATAAGCGATATACGCGGTTCGACTCTCCTCGGAGAGACATATCAGTTCATACCCTCCTCATACAAATACATCAACGAATATATATTCTTCTTCAACGATTTAGTGATAGAAATA